CGGTGCCGGCATCTCGCAGGCCTTTCATCTGGCAGCTCCCCGCAGCCTCTGCTGGGCTTTTTTTAAGGCACCCTATGATTTTCTTGTCAAATTAGAGTCTCATGTTGCGCTGGGTAGGGCATATTTTACAACAAATCGTCTTGGCTGAGTAGGCCCTCAACTTGCGCAAGTGTGGGCTGAAATATAGTTGGGGAGGGAGCTTTTCGCAGCGCTTGCAGTGCCACCAGCACCTGTGTTGTGCCTTCACCGGTGCATCGTCTTCCCGAACGTGATGTGAGCAGCGTGGGAGCCCCTGCCCCGCTCCAGCGAGAGGGGGTAGGAGGGGAGCCAGGAGCTGCTGCCCTGGCAGATGGCTGGTTTGCCACGCGGAAATGGCTGTTTTTTTCTTGCTGTGTTAGCAAAACAAACCCAAATCGGCTTATGTTACCCACCCTGCCTGCTAAAACGCCGGTGAATTTTCCAGTCATTGCTCCCATAGTCACCAGGGGCCAACTTGCTCGAGGGGGATGTTTGGGGCAGGCAACGTGTGCCCACAGCTCCAGCATGCCTGGGAGCCGTCAGCTTGCAACCCTGCCCCAAGAGCTTGGGAAGCTCTAGGAGGGGGGGGTTCCTCGGGGGCTGCGACGACCTGGCACCAAATATGCCGCCTACGGACCTGGGGAGCTGGTGCTGCCTGGTGCCAAGGGACTGGGGAGGGGACCCTGGCCATAACAACGCCACCCAAACAAACAAACGGGACGGCCCAGGTTTTTTCCGAGGGTTGTTGCTATGCCATCGAGGAGCGCTGGCGCCTGATGCTCCGGGATGGAGCCTCACCCACTGATTCCTATCAGAGGGCACAGACAGCTGAGGCGTGCTCTGCCCTAATGGTTAAATTAGCTGGAACAAGGTCTCCAGATAAGATAACGCTGTTTGCTGAGGAGGCTGTTTTCCCTTGGCTGGGTTGTTTCGCCGGCAGGCTAAGAACCTTGCTTTGAAGCAGTGGTCAGGCTGGGACCTGGCTTTGCTGAGGACACCACCCCTGCCCCTCTGCCGCTGCTCCTTGGAGCCATCTCTGCCCCGTGCTAGAGCTTGCCTGCTGCTGGTGGGCACGGCACCGTGGGCAGCATCCCACTGCAGAGGGATGTGCTGGCTGC